TTGTTAGCGATAAGTGAGCAACACGACTATTGAGAGTTGGGCAACAAGACCACCGAGAGTTAGACCACGAGGCTGCTCTTTCAGCCCGGAATACTAATGTCGTCTCGGGAATGCACAATCGTGCATAGCATCTGTTCTTCATGTACTCTAGCTCTTCCCCGTGGGAGTAAAAATCACTCCAACATAGTGTCGTACCAACCCTACCCCCCCCCCCTTTCTGAGAGGAGGTGAGGAATGGGAACGATGGATGCATAGCTGCTGAAAACTGAGCAAAACAACTACTAGAAAGAGCTAGGCGATTCAAGCGCTAACAAGAGTTGGGTAGCGCGACAGCTGAGAGCTGAGCGGTGAGACTGCATGGAGCTGGTCAACACAACTGCTAATAGCCGGGCAACACAGTTGTTTAAGGGTTATTTCGAAATGCTTTCACAAGTAGTAGTAGTAGTAGCGATGTACTACTTACTCTTCTCCCTCCTTTTTTTTTTCTAAAAAAGCTGAGTGGTCTGGATCGTAATACGTATTTTAAAACGTATTTTGTTGAGCGGGACTTGCGGTGCATGAGTGTCAAACAACTTATTTTGTTTTGCTAGGGTGGCCCATTAAATACTAATCTATGAAGCCCAAATTGCTACAACCCAAGATTTTTTTATAGCCGGCAAATAATCAGCCCAAATTCATATCTTCTTATCTTTCCTTTTTTTTTTTTTTTTTTTTGGAAATTTCTGAGTGCTCTTGAATGCAACTTGTCTTCTCAAGTCGGGTGTTGTTGGGCTGAATCGCAGCACGAGGATTTGAATCTATTTTGCAAAAACAAGTCCATTATTTTCTTTTAGCCCATCCGCATCAAAAACAGATTTAAAGGAAAGCCCAAATCAAAGTTGATAGTCCATATTGATCAGCCCAATGGTTATTGTTTGGATCGTATGATACTTGTGGATCACCCTAATTGGTTTTATCTTTAGTTTTGGGAAAAAGATCCTAGGCTTCTCATTGTCACACTCCCTCAATAAAACACGCGACAGGAGATGGCGGCTCCCTCTTCTGAACTCGTCAGATACAGAGGGAAGACAGTGCTACGAGTTCGTCGACAGCGGCCGATCTGGTAGCGGGTGCGCGAAAGGCGACGGAGAATCAGGAGAACAGAAGGCCGACGATGGATGGGATGGTCGGTGATGCTACATCTTCGGTAGGCGGCTACAGATCTAGAAATGGGGGCGTTCAATCGATACCGGTGGTGGTCCTATAGGCGGAGCTGCTGTCACTGGGCGCTAACGAGTGATCGACGGTACCTGGCACCGGCTGCCTGCCGCGGATCGAGAAACTGAATGGCCAGTGGTGCCTCGTTGGGTACAGTTGCATGTCATCGGAGTTGGCAGCGACTGGTTGCAGCTATGTTGGTGACGACGCTTGCTCTCCAAAGATCGTCGTTTGCAGGGATTCAAGTGGAGTTCCTCAGCGAAGGCAGTTGGTGCTAAATCCTCTGTTGGAGATCAACGAATGGTTTGTGGGTCACCGTGGTAAGGGTGATAGTTGTTGTTCCCGGTGGCGCTTTGGGTGCATTTTATGTTGGTGGCGTCTCGGCGGTGATGGCGTTTTGCGCTGGAGCTGCTGTTGTTTCCGACCGTCGACAGGTGGTCAACGGTAGTGATCAGGTTCTGGTATTTCAAAGAGGAGGTGACCATGCGAGGCCCACTTTTTAACTTTTCTGCCAGCTTTCTTGACTGTTGTGGGGCCCAAACGCCTCTTAATCTTTGTCGAATAGCATCACGTATCACATGGAGGCCAGTTGTAGTTTTTTGACTTTGCATTAAGAATTGTACAAGATGGTCCCGCTGAAGGTGCTCGGTAGACCTGGTGGACCCTCAGCTATTGTCTTTTCTGTGTTACTTGTAATAGTTTTTTGCATTTGTAGGACCCCTAGAGCTGTAAAGGTGGATGCAATAGATATAGCGGTATAGCTGGTTACCACCATCTCCTCTTTTTTTTGTCGGCTCACACGAGACATATCTACAATATTCTTGTATTTTTTCTTTTATACAGCCATTTACTGAAACGATAACTATATGGTAGTAGTAGTTTTTTATATATCTACAGAATTCTCTTTTTATCTTTGTCTTTCCCCCTTTTTTTTTTAAAACCATTTACTGAAATGGTAATTAAAATGCAGGGGTAACTTTGAAGGGGGTTAAAAATAAATACCTGGTGAGTGAACAACATATAAAAATATTCAGATCAGATTTGTGGAAGTTTAAGAAGATAGAAAGTTCATTTATTTTTACTACAAGTTTTTAGACAACTTAAGTGAATTTGAAGACCATAAACTAAATGAGATCTTCAGAAGAATACATGGACTGAAAGTGGGTTAGGACCCGTCACAAGTCCTTCTCCCTTCTTTTTTTTGTTTTTGAAATATGTACAAGCCATATGGCTGTGTGTACAAACAATTGTTGCAGAGATGGGATAGCACAAAGAATCATAGCTAAAAATGATTTTTGATAATATATGAACCAAAAAATGAGGTAAAAAGCTTCTTTTCCCTTGAAACTTACTAAACAAACCCCAAAACAGACTTGAGAAGGTCTTGTTCATAGTAAATTATGAACTAAAAATTTTTCTTGCTAATCATGAATTGAAAATCGAATAAAAGCTTATAAAGGCTTATTTTCCTCTCATCTTGCTCAATAAACCATCAAGATAAGCTGGAATAAGGTAGATCTCATAAAAACTTCTGTTCTTTTCCAAACTTCTACCCAATAAACAACAAAAATTTCTTTTCTTTTCTTCTTCAACTTGCTCAACAAGCTATCAAGATGTGAGCAAGAGCAGATCTGTAAAGAAATTTCGTTTTCCTTCTTTAAGCTTTGAAGGAAACATTAAATAAACAGCTTCAACATAGTTTTGCCAAGAAAATCAGAAACCAAAAACAATTTCTTTTAGGAAAACAACTGGAGATGAGGTAAAACACCATGAAAACTTCATTTCTTCTCAGATTGCTTGAAAAAACACCAAAATAAAAATGAAAATGGGTTAAGAACTCATAAGAAATTCTTTCTTCACTACTTGCTGAAGAACCCATCAAAATATAGACGAAAATTAGATCTTATGAAGTCTTTTAAAACTTGAGTGTTGCTCAAAGGATTTAAAACGAAACATATCTAGATATCTGAGCAAGAAATGACACAGATCTGAAGATCTGAGCGAGAAAACTCAACAGATCAAGAGATCTGAACGATGGAAAAGCAGATCTGAAAAGATCTTAGCAATAACTAACGCATCTGAACAGATCTTGGCAAGAGCCAAACGGATATGAACAAATGATGGGTAGAAATGAATAGATCTGAACAAACCTTAGATGAAAACACATCAGATCTGAACAAATCCGGGCAAAAACGAGCTTGAGGCCAACTGAGACTTTTGCTACTTGCTCGAATCCGGGATGGCGCCAAATGATGCGACATCGACCTCCGGCGAGCCTTCTGGTCTTCTGCTGAGGCGGAGATCTGGATATCACAGTGCAAAGTCGTTAGAGCCGCTCCAGGGACTGTGCCCCGGGAGCGGACTCCGACGGTCAAGTTAGATCAGCTAGAAGATCTGAGATGGTTCTTTATGGCTGGAGGGAACCATCTTGGTGCTGGTGGTGGTGTATGGTGGCTGACGGCGGCGGGTGGCGGCTGAGCCACCCGGGCCGGAGTATAGGGCGGCGGCCGAGCCAAGGGGAAGATCCAGTGGCAGCTGAACCACTTGGGAAAGAGTCCTCCTTCATGGAGGAGGCATTATTCTATTTATAGTGGACAATTAGGTCAAGGGGAATTAGGGCAGGCCTTAGGCCAGCCCAATTCAGGCCCAACTAGCAAGGAGCTGGGCAAGGCCGCCCGGAGGCGCCGGACGGGGCTGGCGGGCGCGCACCAGGAAATAATGGCAGGGGAGCGCCTGGCCGGACCGGCAGGAGAGTCCCCAGCAGGGCTGGCAAGGGAGTCCCCAGCAAGGCTGGCAAGGGAGCGCCAGACAGAGCTGGCAGGAGCGCCAGGCAGAGCTGGCAGGAGCGCGCCAGGCCAGGTTGGCGCGCTAGAGCGGTCTAGACAATGCCAATGGACCATATATCATCACTGACTATTTGAGCATAACAACTAAATATTTAGATCATTCATTAATTCCAAAAGTCCTTTCATGGCTATGAAATAAGGATCAACCAGTCAAGACATTCAGGAGGCATGACCATTTTCGGCATATAGTTTTCCTGAAATCTAACAACCAAGCTAACATGGCTATCGTAGATACATCTCCTGTATGTAGACCAATCAGTACTTTAACTAGACTTAACGACTAATCTAGTACTACAAATTCATATTAACGATAATGAATATAATATACAAGAGTATTTGTAACTAACTCGATTTGACGAATCCAAATAGTCACGAGCATAAATTTGACACCTACTTTCTTATATCCTTTCGAAACTTCCAGAGCTTCGCTAAATAGATTACAGAACGAGAAGTCGAATCACGAGGGACCGAAATGCTAGAGGGTGAGAGAGAGACTCTTTGAAATAGAATGGGGCCATAAATGAGGGAGGCCAAGGCCTCTGTTTATAAGCTGAAAAAGAGAAAGACATGCTGCGTCCTATAGGGATGCGCCGCGCTCTACGGTCCGGCCTAACAATTTATTTTGTGCACGTAATGTTGGTTTTCGTGTATGCAACCTCAACTGTAATTGTCAAGTGCATTAAATGTGGCACCCCGCTCCCTATAGACACCCCACGCCCTTGATAGGCGCCCGAACGCTTCTGGAATTCATTGTAACTTCGAAAAAAATCGTAACTTTCTTATTCGAACTCTGTTTTCGACGTTCTTTATATCCACAAGTTTGTATTGACAACTACTACAACTTTTATGTTGAATACTTTGGCTAAAAATCAATACATCTTCACTTTTATTTTTATAAACAAAAACTTATATTTGTTAACCGCTATAAGTGAAAACGAGTGTTATAGTATTAACACATTTAAAAAGTATATTTATGTATGATAACCTAAAATAAATGTCTTAACCTAAAAAATATGCATCTGTGTGTATTTTACCCTGGGTGAATATCATATATGACCTTATTAAACAACAAAATATTGTATTTATCCGTATTAAAATTCAAATATCGTATTTATCTTTCTTGACCTTTAAAATATCGTATTTGTCTAAATCATTTTTTGAACGTCTTTTAACAATTTATTATCAATTGTTATATCTAAAAATCATTATAATTAATTTTTTTTGACAATACTACCCTTAAATATTTCTTTTTGCTTAACCTTCTTAGGGTTTAGAAGTGTACGTATCCTCTAACAGTTATGGTGTCAATCAAGAGTCAATTTGTGTCTAATTGTCTTGTATATAGTCCAATCTAGGTGCTAAATATATGTGGGGTTCATAAGTTGTATAATCATCTTGTATTGGCATTATTTTGAAATTTGTATCATATGATAAAACATTAATTACCTGTTATATCCCTAATTTCCTTTTATTATTATTATTATTATTATTATTATTATCTCCATTCCTAATAATTGTCTCCCCTAAATGCCACATGTCACTTTAATATGCCCCATCCTTCCACGTGGCATTTTGTTGTTCACCTATTGTTTTGCTTTCCCGCTCACTTTTGAGTCTTAATTATGTTCGATCCTATCCCTACAAATTAGCAAAAATTACTCCATTTTATGTTTTTATCACGAAAAATCAGCAAAAATATTTTTAATTCCGTTTACTAGCTATCTAAATGGATAGTCTGGTTTTTTTTTATTAAGATCAATCCCATAATTAGCGATTCTAAAATGAGGATATCCGGTTTTTTTCTTTTTCAAATTTCAAACTCACACCGCATCTGTGTGCCTATCTCTCATTCTCTAATGCAAATTCCTTCAATGGTACATAATTTATCTCATCAATGCTTCCTATGAAGTGGGTAGCAGAGAAGAAGCAAACGTTGGAAGTTACAAAGTCTTGATCAGTCATATACCAATTTCTACACCCGATTACGACTCTACGTAACTGTATCGACATGGATTTGAATCCTCATTCTAGGTTTGCGAACTCCAAGCATTTGATTTGTTGGTATTCTTTTAATATTAATTTAAATTTGAGCTGGTATCATTTAAGGATATTTTTCTCTGTCAAGGATCAGGTTTGCTCTCCACATGTAGAAGCTTCCTTACCTTTCTCTTGATTTACCTGTGGCAGAAAAGGGTTCACTACAGACCTTTACTAAATCCAAATCGATTGGAGGAAGAAGATTTATCATACATGATTATGAAAAAATTGACGTTTCAATGGTACTTATTTTACTAATCATTCGATTTTTGATTTTTAGAATCATTCCTATCTCCCGAACCAATTTAAAAGCTCATATATGTTAGGGTTTCAGAAATCGGTTTGTTAGGGAAATTTCGATGTTTTTTCAGAAAACAAAGTCACTCAGATCGGCTGAAAATCATCGTTGCCCAATTTTCCAATTTAATGTATCTGCAAAATTCATTTCAACTGATTTTTAGCATTTAAATATCTTTCATTTGAATTTCATCTTTTAGCTCAACTATGGTTTCATGGTTGACATATCTTCGTTATCCCCAAACCCCTAATTTTTTACCGTGTGTTTTTGTGTTTTGGTGTTTTTCAGGAGTGAGAGCTGAAATTAACCAAACAAATGATTTGTTAATTTTAGTTGTTTTTCAGTCAATCGAGAAGACCTTTGATGAGCTTATTTAACGGGTTGGTGGGTCAACCCGTTTATTTTTTGAGAAACCCATATATGACCCGTTTAATAAACAGGTTGGCGGGTTGAAAAACTCCACCAAAACCCATTTATTTTGTGTCGTGCGGGTCGTGTCGAGAATTGCTAGTCCTAATTATCAAAACCTCTCTGAATGGAACATGTTTTCAATCAAAGCTCATCAATTAGTATAGGGCCCTGAAGCCATGATTAAAAGTGGAAAGATACACCATGAATCATTTTCCATTAATCTCATACCTGTTTATTTATCAATTCCAAACAAACATGTATTTCATATAGATGCTCATGCATCCACCTCGTGTATCACCACGCACCATGGACAATAAATAAATGCAGGTAATGGTTTATTAGTTTTATTCTAGGAAGGGGTTTAATATCTAATGGTAATTTAGTCAATTTATTCTTTCTATTTAAACTATAATGATTCTTAAATATAATAACTGATTATAAATTCTTAAAAAATATTTAAATTTTTTTTGGGTGAATGCAATATTTTAAAAGGTAAAAAGGATATATACAATATTTAGATTTTAGGTTATGTAAATACAATATATTATTTAACAAAGATATATAGTTATATACGGAATTTACCCTTTTAAAATACATATAAATACATAACAATATGTATTTTAACATAAAAACTTCGATTTTAACATAAAAATAAGTATTTTAATCTAGAAAACATGTAGCTAGAAGTATTTTAACCTAAAAATAAGTATTTTATCAATAAAACCCATATATTGAATTATTGTATAATAATAATAAAATTATATATATTCAAAAACTTATGCATAAAGCTTTGCCAAGCCTCGTCAGGTGGTAAACGAGAATGGAAGGGTAAAGTGATATCATGAATGTGACGATCGATCCAAATGTAAGAAACAGAGGCAAAAATGCAAGCTTTGAGAAATTTCTTGAGAAACCCAACAATTTCTATCGCAGAAACATACAAAACCAATGGAGAAATCAACCAAATTCACTCACAATTGCTAGTCAATGGTTTCCTCAACGACCCAGATCTTGTATCTAAATTTGCTGCATCAATCGCCCTCAAACACCCACAAAATATCGATTATTCTGTTCAACTATTAGACCAATGTGAAAATCCCTCAGTCTTTGCTTTAAACTCTCTAATCAGAGTTTACTCCAAGAGCTCAACTCCTGAAAAAAGCTTCGATTTTTATAAAAGAATTGTAAAATCGAATCATAAACCTGATAATTACACGTTTACGTTCTTGATCAAGTCTGCTGCGCAGTTCGTGGATAAGAATTTGGGTTTGGCTGTACATGGGACTGCTTTGAAATACGCATTGGATCAAGACCCACATGTTCAAAGCGGGTTGATTAATTTGTACGCTGAAATGGGGTCTCTTAGGGACTTAAAAGATTTGTTTTTTAACATCCACAACCCAGATTTGGTAACTCAGACAACAATGGTGGTTGCCTGTGCAAGATTAGGAGATATCAAATTCGCACGCCAACTGTTTGATAAAATGCCCGACCGAGATGTGATTGCCTGGAACGCAATGATAGCTGGGTACGTGCGTTTCGGGGAGCCTTTAAACGGAATCGAACTGTTTAACACAATGGAAATGAAAGGTTTGAAGGTTAATGAAGCCACAATGGTTTCCGTGTTATCTGCTTGTACTCAATTAAGTGCTTTAGATGCGGGACAACGGGCACATAGATATATAAAGTATAAAAAACTACAAATCAACACAACTCTTGGTAGTGCACTAGTCAATATGTACGCAAAGTGTGGGGATATTAACACGGCAATGAATGTTTTTGGGGGGATGAAAGAAAAGAATGTGTACACATGGAGTGGTGCCATGGGAGGACTAGCGATGCATGGTTATGGCAAAGAGTGTCTTGACCTTTTTACCCTTATGCAACAAGAAAACATCACACCAAATGAGGTCACTTTCACTTCAATCTTAAAGGCTTGTAGTGTAGCGGGTCTTGTTGGAGAAGGCTGCAAGCATTTTGAATCTATGACCAAAGAGTATGGGATCGTGCCAAAACTTGAGCATTATGGATGTATGGTTGATTTATACGGCCGATTGGGGCGTTTGGATGAAGCGTTACGCTTCATCCAGAGTATGCCCTGTGTACCCCATGCTGAAGCATGGGGTGCACTGCTTAATGCTTGCAAGATTTATAAAAATGTGGAAATGGCTAAACTTGCATCTAGAAAGATGGTGGAACTAGAGGCTAAGAATGATGGCGCGTACGTGGAGTTGTCGAATGTTTATGCGGATTTCAAGAATTGGGATGGTGTTGATGGTGTGAGGCATAAAATGAAGTCAAAAGGTGTTGTGAAGATCCCCGGTGTTAGCGTTATCGATAGTAGTTAGGTATTTAACATTGTTTTGGCTTTTTGACTATTGTTTCATTTTGAAAAATTGCATGTTTTTGTAATCATGCAATTTTAATGGGTGGATTTTAGTTCTTGTCATTTCAATGCATTTTTTGTAATTTTTTTAGTTTCCATGCATTTTTTTTGTATGTTTTATAAATGTTTATTTGATAAAAAATTCAATTTATAAATTTGTACCACTTAATGCTCTATAATTTTTAAAAGTTTTATATGATATTAAATTAAAATTGTTTTTATTATAAAAAGAATCAGTCCAAGCACATTAGATCAGACAAAAACAATCTAATAAAACTGAACTGGGCCGGATAGGCCTTAACAATTGCCTCAACTATATTTATTTCGATCCACATTTGCCTAAGTTTTGATTTTTTTTTGAAACGGAGCCTATGTTTTGATGGGACCCGATTTATGGACCGGTTCAGAATCCGACTAACCCATATTATGTTCAACTCTGGTTATGACAGGTTACGACCCAAATCATGTACATATACGAACATAGTATACGAACTCCCCTTCACAAAACTTGCACACATGGTTCACTAGTTTTACTTCCGACACATCCTTTAATTATGTAAATCTTGTCACCGTAAAACGTAACAAGATTTCACATAAGTGCAAAGAAAAATTAAATTTTCTACCTAGACATAGAATTGTAACTTTTGAATTATTTACCGATAATAATAGTTAATGGTTTTAAAATGACTAATGGATGATCTTTCATAAATTTTTAATAGTAATAATTAGTTTAAAAATAATTCACAATAATAATAATTAATAGTAACATAAAATCATAATACGTTTTTTAACTTACAAACAATGGTTAGTATTTTAGAATATCATCATAATTGAAATTTAAAATGGACCAAATAAGTAAAATTTGGATTAAATAATCAGACAATAGTTAAAAATGTAACATTAAATCGAGAATTAAATTTAGTTTTATTTACACGCAAACAGAAGGTGGAAGCCACTGATTGATGTGATTTTCATATGTGTTGCACTACTATAAACATAGGTATCGGTGACAGACATTTCCGTCGAGAAATCCGTCGCTAAGGCCATCAGTACGAATCAATGATGGATACAGACGATAAAACCTTGGTCGCTAATGGTCAGCGACGGATCAACGAGGGATTGGGCTATCACGGAAGACTTTTGGATCGAGTACATTTTGTCATAGATCCTTCGCTAATTGTCGTCGGTTATCCGTTGTTGAATATCTGTAAATGAAATTTTTTTCTATATATTTAATCATAGTTACTAATGTAATTAGCAATGGTCTATTAGGTGTCGAATCTATCACTAATCAATACCCAAATGTCACAAATGAAATTCCAAATTAACAAAGAAATAATAACCATGTTTACACCAAATTAAACATCAAGCCATATCATTTTATTAATAACAACATACTTTCAACTCGAATAAAAAACTAGCAACATACTTTCAACTTAAATAAAAAACTAGCAACAATTAATAGCAACGTACAATTTACACAAATTTGTAAAAATTTTTGTTTCTATCCTTATAATATATTTTGAAATAATCATGCACTATCATTTTGATTATTTCAAAAGGGAGTATTGCAATGCTTTATGGTCATCAGAAGTTGTGGTTGTGAAGACCTAAGTAAATGTTCCCATAATTAGAAATTGTATGAAAATGCTATACTAATTTTTTTTTTTTGGGAAATTTCAACACCATAAACATGCTTTTCCATCCAGTTTTGGCATTAGTGACAAACCAAACAATCATATGGTAGTGGCTGTAAAAGAACGAAAAAAGTAAATGTTTTATATAGTAAAAGCACATGTTAAGAAAGCAATGAACATTATAAAGAGGTATAGTTAAGGCTATTTTTTTCCACATTAAGTGCTTTAAAGATATAGTGTTTAATTGATGTTTAAAAACACTTGAGAAGATGGAAGAGATAATGGCAAAATACAAGACTTGTTGTTGGTTGCCATATTTGCTTGTTGAAATCATATCATAAACATCAAAATTAGAGCTGAAAAGTTATAATCCAAATATGGATAGTAGCAACTTCACGAATATATGACAAATTAATTGAAGGAACAAAATTATAAAGACTGAAAAGTTATAATCCAAATATGAATAGTAGCACTATGTACATACGTACTAAAGTAGTTTGATATCTTTCAAACTTGTAGGCATGGGAAACATAATAACAACTTCACGCACTCCTTGAAAAATGATTCCAACTTTTTATTTAAATATGTAACTAAATGTTTGGCATATCAACCTGTTAGTTTATAAATTTAAGAATTAAAATACAAATATTTTACTAGGGATTAGTAACAAAAGAATTGCATAAAATCTAGGGTTTTTGTATAATATTACTTATATGAACTTACCTTGAAATACTTATTTCATTATCTACACATGGGTGGTTACCAAAGTTTCAACTCTTAGTACACAGTAGCGGATCCATAATCAAAGCAAAAGGGTAACCACCTAGATATGCTTATGGTAGTACACCTTTCTTGTTCATAAGCCTTGTACACTTTTCCCCCTTCCCCTCACCTTCTATCTCCATCACTGGTTATAGACTCCAACCAACACACCTTTACTTTGGATCCCTATAACATTGATCATAGTCAAAACAAAAATTAGATAACATCAAAGACACATACAAACTCTACTCAGTTCACCTCTTTTGAGTATGGTCAAACCCAACACAAAATAAGTGAAAAATATATAATCTTTTAAACAACATTCAAATCAAAGCATCAAACACACATATCTTAGAGTCTTGATGATGGGGGTGAGATAATTGCCAAATTTAGGTCGATTATCGCTTTATGCTTAAGCATGATTACGTTTAAATACATATGTACTAGACATAACGTAACCTATATGAGTCATTTTGATGCAAATAAAGTTTATACACTTTGAAATGTATCCGTGATATCACAAAAATCTTCGAAATGTTTAGATCGTCGATAAACGAACATTTTTCATTATACATAAGTAATGATTGGATACATATGCTTTGATTAGATACATGTATTAAGTATTATTATGTATAGATGATACACTAAAAAAAGAGTACATGTAATTACGAACCATGGACATAAAGAACGTTGAAAAAAGAGCTCGTATGAGAAAGATACAATTATCCGAAGAAAACGAGACAATGAGCAGAAAACACATGAACCGTAATCGTAAGAATGGAATTTCAAACAGTTCGTTTGACTAGCTACCTTGCGCTTCGCAACAACATTTTGATATTTTATAAAATGTAATATAAGCTAGTATTTTAAAAGAACTCCATCTTTTTTTTTTTGCAAAAATCGAGACTCGACACTGCATTGCCTGACCACAAATGCGACACACTGTAGTCAATCTCTCTCCAAATACACTCAAATATCTCCCAAATCTCTCTCCTCTCTCTTTCTTGCTCTCGGTTTCTAACGCAAAACCACGACCGACAGCTACTCTGGCCGCCGTCTGCCACCGCCTGCCGACACTCGGACACCACTTGCCACCCTCCGACGCCGATATCAACCTTTAACAGCAGTTCTGTCAGCATCGCCACCACTTTTTCCGGCGAAGCTCCGACCAATTTTTTGGCGAAGATCGGGCTAAATTTTCGGCGAGTTACTATCCACTTTCTGGCGAAGCGCTGCTTCAACAATATTTTTCCGACAACTTTTCCAGGTTTTTCTCCTTAGTCTTTTTTAAAGCTACACAAACATAACTATGAGTTTCACGATCCCTTTTATTACATTTTCGAATTTCAGGGGAGAATACATGTCAAAATGATTATAAACTATTGTTTTAATTTCAAAACATATGCTTATGCTTACAAACTTACGCATTTGATATATGCGGTTGAACTTATGTTTACAAAACTTATGCATTGGATATATGTTGTTAGGCTTATGCCTTGAAACTTTTGTGTACAAGTTAGGGCTTATGAACTTATAGAACATATTACTCAATGGTTACACGAGACCAATTCATTACCTAAATGCAATACTTAGTAGACCCCTGACTTATAACTGTTAATCTTCGTGAGTGAGGGAATTATGTATAAATCTATACAGGTTGACACCCCTACATATGGTTGCTAGCTACAACCTTGACGGTCGAGTCACGATGAGTGATAATTGTCTACTTATTATGATGTCCAATGAAGCGTCGAGAGGGGCACTACTTAGTCAATACTTAGGTTATTGGGACTCATTGTAACGTTGGAATTTTGATTAATTTACTGATAATATATAAGCTAGGAAACTATTTATATACATTAAGAAAGTATTTTTTTATTTGAAAGTACTTTTATTTAAATACTTCTAAACTCTGAACTTACCAACATTACGTTGATACTCTTCGGAATCACATGTATTCTCAGGGAAATAAGAGCCAGAAATTTACATTCATGGAATAAATCATGGAATAATATTGTAGTCTCCTTAGTTTAGCAATATAGTTTTATAGAACTGCCTACTATCTGTGTCTATGTACTCTCAAGTTCCTGTACCTATAGTCTAGTACATATGTAATTTCCTTTTCAGAAATAAAAATTTCCACTTTATGTTATTTGTTGTATGTGTTCTATGTATACCATGACTGTGATTCATATTGTCGTCTCACCACCTGTATTTGTTCTATTGGGTGATGCGATTGCCAACAAAGACGCTAATTGTGGAGTCAACGCCTCAAAGAGAAATCAGAGTCTTGACGTCGTTGACATGAAGTCGTGAATTGGCGATGATAGGGGTAGAGGCGGCCAAAATCGACAATATGGGCGACTCGAATAGGTGATGATGGGGTTGGGAGAGGTCGGAGTCAATGTCGGGGGTGGGGGTGCCGAATGAAATTAGGTTACAAATACAGGGATTTGGGAGGGAGGCATCGGGGGAATGAAAAAATGGGAAAGAATTGAAAATCAACGTAAAAATGAGAGGGAATTGAAACTAGCGACCGAATTCACCGAGCGAAATGGATTTTTTCTGTTGTTGATTCCATCACTAATCCCTCTTTAATCCCTTGGTAAATTGCAAGAATTTACGGAATATAAATCCTGGTGTTTTTCGTCGCTGATCACTTGCAAATCCTTGGCTGATTAGTTTGGGTTTACTTGGTCGCTGATACTTGTTTTTCTACTAGTATTAATTTTACTATATCGATTAAAATATTTACAATTTTATTTACATAATAACTTAGTGTAAAGATTATTATTTTATACTTAACATAAAATGTAAATGATTTTAGAATTTTAATTATATAATGTTAACATGCAGTGGGCATATATATATATATATATATATATATATATATATATATATATATATATATATATATATATAATATATATATATATATATAGAGAGAGAGAGAGAGAGCTAGGTTCAGGTGTTTAAAGTAAGTATTGTGTTATTGTATTCATAAATGTGGACCAATCAAAATTTAAAATAAAAATAAATAGTTAAATAAATAAATAAGGGTAAATAGGTAATTTGATAATTAGTTTCCACAAATAATAGCCTATAATTATGGTAACCATTGACTTAACTACCTAGGTTTTTTCCATCCCTTTTTAAAACCACAATGACGAATTAAAGGGGTGTTTTGGCTCGGTGACTCTTTGTGTTCGTTCTCCCATCGTCGGCAGCCCCAAAAACAACAGCGGCAGTGGCGGTCGACAGACAAGAAATCGCATGTAGTAAGGGATGGTCAATCGATCTCCGGAGAACTCCTCCTTCGTTCATCTGCTTCGTCACCAGTGATCACAAATCAACAGCGGGAGAAGAATCGATCGACAGAAGACGGTAAGAGATTTCATCTTTTCTCTTTTCTCTTTTCTCTTTTCCTTTTTTTTTGTTCCAGCAATCTCTAGTTGTTCTTGTTTGGGTTGATTTGAAAGAAACGGAGGTAGGAAGGGATAGTTGGAAGGTGGTTCGGTGGAGGCAGGGAAGAAGAACCGAAATTAGATGGGTGTTTGGATTGAGGCTGTGAAATCAATGGGCAAACAGAAGAAGAAACAAAGGGTTGTTGTTGGCTGTATAATCACAGGTTTCTCTAATCTTCTTTCTTATTTTGATTGATTTACTATAAATCAATGAAGTTAAATCGATAGGTTTAGATGAGTTTTTGGGTTTGATTGGTTTTTTTCTTTTTTGTTCAACTAACATCCTATTTGATCGCATCTGTGAGTAAAACTGTCTTCTAGATTCCTGTGAGCTCTAACATCCTATTTCAAGGTTGTTCGCACACCAAATTAGTATTTATTCTTATTTCTGTGCTGGTCCTACGTTTGAATTCATATCAGATGTCACGTGTTCTCCATCTTAATGAGATGCTTGGTTACTTCTCAGGATCTTGTGTGGCTGTTTGGCCATTGTTTGGGTTTCTTGTGTGAAATCAATGATAAAGATGATGACTTGATGAGGGTATTTATGTCAAAATCAAAAAAAAATTATTTTTTAATGGAGTCTGATGTATGATGATAAAAGAGGCAAATTTGGTCTAAAAGCTTGAACTCTATCCTAAAGTTATGGGTTCTGAACATGTCAATTGCTTTAAAAGGTACAGTTTGTTCTTGACCAGTTTTTTGGCTGCATTTTATGAATTGATTCATATTTCAATTTATGTTTTTTTTTTCTAATTTAACACTTCATTTATGTGGACAGTGCAGGATCTTGACAATGTTGAATTCTGAAAAGGTATCAAGTATGTTTATGTAGATGATTCAATGGATGATATTAGTGAGATTCCAATTCTATTGGAATGGAATCACGAATACCAATTATGTTGGAATGGAATCACGAATTCCAATTCTGTTGGAATCACAGAAGTTGATGCTTGAAGAACAGACCACAAAATTGAAACTGACCACATTATTCTTTTAGAATGTATTAGTAGTTGTTAGATTTTGATGTTTTCTTTCCCGTTTAGAAAGTTTTTTTAGTTTTATTCTTTAACAATAAATGTAATTCTTAACAATTGTTACCCGTATTCTATAAGAAATAATGTATTTTTTGTTTTTATTCTTCAATTGATTGTTCAAGAATTTGTTATTCTACAAGAAATTTTTAAATTCATGATCAAGAAATAGGTTCAAGAAATTTTTTATTGTTTATGGTTCAAAGAATATTTTTATTTTTGAACATACTCATAAACATATTCTGTCAGAATGTCCGAATTAAAAGAATTATAATTCGTAAAATCGGTTTTTTAAAATTAATAGGATCTATGATCCCTTAAAAAATGCAATTTTCCATTATTAAATCTATATTAATTGACTAAATTATCCTTGTAATTAATTAAGATGATATTTTTCAATTATATTTAATTCAATAATATATATTAATCACTTTCTTAAAATATATATATTACAAAGTGTATATATTACAAGGTAAAATCATTAACATTAAAAGCTATATATATATATATATATATATATATATATATATATATATATATATATATTACAAAGTATATCAAATTATACATAACATGAAAACATGAGAAGGAGAGCATTCGACAACCATTTAATCTAGACACAAATATGATGACATAAATGAAAAAACCAACGGAATCAAATTAAGAACTTATAATATCTCCAGATCAATCAAATCGCCTGAGCTCTATAATGGATTTTTCTTTTGTTTTGATATTGTTGTACAATCTACTTCTTGGAAGGTGGTGGAGCAAAGAAAGGAATATTTGGAAGAGTTGTTGGAAAGTTAGGGATGGTAGGCATAGAAGGCAATGGAGGCAAGGAAACTTTGGGCATGTTAGGGATGCTGGGTATTTGTGGTAGTGGCAGCGTGGGGATGGTGGGCATTTGTGGTTGTGGCATTGTCGGGATTGTTGGTATCTGTGGCTGTGGCATTGTCGGGATTGTTGGTATTTGTGGTTGTGGCAGTGTTGGGAATGTGGTTGCTTGCAGTAAATTGCGGGAAGCAAAACACATCTCGTTTGTTGTAATTGAGAATAGTGCAATTGCAAAAACATAAAGGTAGGAGGTGGAAGCCATTGTAGGATCTCTGTGAGTTGTTAAATATGGGTCAAGAGAGATTCTGAGAGGTGATCGAAGATTAATGAAGTTGATTAACCTGTGAAAAATAATGTACAAGGGACCAAGTATATATAGGTAATGCACAGTGATAATGATTGATCAATAAATAATTAACGTGTCATGAGTTTTGTTGAGACTTACATTAGGTTGGTTGGTATGAAGATATCCAAGGCATGTAATGTTGTTAAACAACTTCCTGATAACAAGAAATTATTTATTAATTTTCCTTTGTTAGGTAAGCTATTTTGCCACATAATATCGAGAGTTTTCCTTTTAAGAAATTAATGACAAACAACAAAAAAGTAAGTTCACTCACAATTGCTAGTGAATGGTTTCCTCAACGACCTAGATCTTGTATCTAAATTTGCTGCATCAATTGCCCTCAAACACCCACAAAATATCGATTATTCTGTTCACTATTAGACCAATGTGAAAATCCCTCCGTCTTTGCTTTAAACTCTCTAATCAGAGTTTACTCCAAGAGCTCAACTCCTGAAAAAAGCTTCGATTTCTATAAAAGAATTGTAAAATCGAATCATAAACCTGATAATTACACGCTTACGTTCTTGATCAAGTCTGCTGCACAGTTAGTGGATAAGGATTTGGGTTTGGCTGTACATGGAACTGCTTTGAAATACGCCTTGGATCAAGACCCACATGTTCAAAGCGGGTTGATTAATTTGTACGCTGAAATGGGGTCTCTTAGGGACTTAAAAGATTTGTTTTTCAACATCCACAACCCAGATTTGGTAACTCAGACAACAAGGGTGGTTGCCTGTGCAAAATTAGGAGATATCAAATTCGCACGCCAACAGTTTGATAAAATGCTCGACCGAGATGTGATTGCCTGGAACGCAATGATAGCTGGGTACGTGCGTTTCGGGGAGCCTTTAAACGGAATCGAACTGTTTAACACAATGGAAATGAAAGGTTTGAAGGTTAATGATGCCACAATGGTTTCCGTGTTATCTACTTGTACTCAATTAAGTGCTTTAGATGCGGGACAACGGGCACATAGATATATAAAGTATAAAAAACTACAAATCAACACAACTCTTGGTAGTGCACTAGTCAATATGTACGCAAAGTGTGGGGATATTATCACGACAATAAATGTTTTTGGGGGGAAGAAAGAAAAGAATTAATGTGTACACTTGGAGTGGTGCCATGGGAGGACTAGCGATGCATGGTTATGGGAAAGAGTGTCTTGACCTTTTTACCCTTATGCAACAAGAAAAAATCGCACCAAATGAGGTCACTTTCACTTCAATCTTAAAGGCTTGTAGTGTAGCGGGTCTTGTGGAAGAAGGTTGGAAGCATTTTGAATCTATGACAAAAGAGCATGGGATTGTGCCAACACTTGAGCATTATGGATGTATGGTTGATTTATACGGCCGATTGGGCCATTTGGATGAAGCGTTACGCTTCATCCATAGTATGCCATGTGCACCCGATGCTGAAGGATGAGGTGCACTGCTAAATGCCAACAAGATTTATAAAAATGTGGAAATAGAGGCTAAGAATGATAGCGCGTATGTGGAGTTGTCTAATGTTTATGTGGATTTCAAGAATTGGGATGGCGTTGATGGTGTGAGGCATAAAATGAAGTCAAAAGGGGTTGTGAAGATCCATGGTGTTAGCATTATCGATAGTAGTTAAGTTTTTTTTGAAAGAGATATTGATAGTAGTTAAGTTAAAACATGTTGAACTCGTATTTAACATTGTTTTGGCTTTTTGACGGTGGTTTCATTTTGAAAAATATTTAAGCACTAGGTGTTAAACCCGTGTAATACACGGGTTGATTAAAAAAAATTATTTATTAAAGTGTAAAATTAAATTTTTTAAAATAAAATTTTGAAATAATAAGGAAGGAAGAAACATATTTATTACAATTTACTGTCACATTTATTACAATAAATACTTTGCATATATAAGTATAACTATTATGTGACTTTTTAATTTTAAAATTTGAAAAAATGCAGAAAATGACATAATGACATGTAGATATTATTTATTTTAAAAATACTATAAAATGACAAGTGTCAAAACTCATAAGAGATTGACCTGTGGCAAAATGGATATTCATTTATTATAGTAGATTCATTGCATGTTTTTTGTAATTCTTGCAATTTTAATGGGTATTTTAGTTCTTGCCATTTCAATGCATTTTTTTTGTTTGCAATTTCTAATTTCCATGCATTTTTGTATGTTTTATAAAACATTTAGTTCGTTTCTTAAAAAAAAAATCAATTTATAAATTTGTACCACTTAATGCTCTACAATTTTTAAAAGTATTATAAGGTAGTATTAAACTAAAATTGTTTTTATTATAATAAAATCAGACCAAGCACATTAGATCAGACAAAAACAATCTAATAAAACCGAACCGGTCCAGACTGCCCTTAACAATTGCCTCAACTATATTTATTTCGATCCACATTTGCATATGTTTTGACGGGACTCGATTTATGGACCGTTCAGAATCGGACTAAGAATCGGACTAACCCGGATTATGTTCAACTCTGGTTATTACAAGGTTACGACCCAAATCATGTACATATACGAACATAGTATACGAACTCCTCTACAAAACTTGCACACATGGTTCACTAGTTTTACTTCCGACACATCCTTTAATTATGTAAATCTTGTCACCCATAAAACGTAACAAGATTTCACATAAGTGCAAAAAAAAAAAAAATTTTCTACCTAGACATAGAATTGTAACTTTTGAATTATTTACCAATAATAATAGTTAATGGTTTTAAAATGACTAATGGATGATCTTTCATAAATTTTTAATAGTAATAATTAGTTTAAAAATAATTCACAATAATAATAATTAATAGTAACATAAAATCATAATACGTTTTTTAACTTACAAACAATGGTTAGTATTTTAGAATATTATCATCATTGAAATTTAAAATGGACCAAATAAGTAAAATTTGGATTAAATAATCATGACAATAGTTAAAAATGTAACATTAAATCGAGAATTGAGAATTAATTTAGTTTTATTTACACGCAAACAGAAGGTGGAAGCCACTGATTGATGTGATTTTCATATGTGTTGCACTACTAGAAACATAGGTATCGGTGACGGACATTTCCGTCGAGAAATCCGTCACTAAGGCCATCAGTTACGAATCAATGATGGATACAAACGATAAAACCTTGGTTGCTAATGGTCAGGTACGGATCATCGAGGGATTGGGCTATCACAGAAGACTTTTAGATCGAGTACATTTTGTCATAGATTCTTCGCTAATTGTCGTCGGTTATCCGTTGTTGAATATCTGTAAATGAACAATTTCTGTATATATTTAATCATAGTTATTAATGTAATTAGCAATGGTCTATTCAGTGTTGAATCTATCACTAATCCATACCCAAATGTCACAAATGAAATTCCAAATTAACAAAGAAATAATAACCATGTTTACACCAAATTAAACATCAAGCCGTATCATTTTATTAATACAACATACTTTCAACTCGAATAAAAAACTAGCAGCATACTTTCAACTTAAATAAAAAACTAGCAACAATTAATAACAACGTACAATTTACACAATTTGTTAAAAATTTTGTTTCTAATATATTTGAAATAATCATGCACTATCGTTTTGATTATTTCAAAAGGGAGTAATGCAATGCTTTATGATCATTGTGGTTGTGAAGAACTAAGTAAATGTTCCCATAATTAGAAATTGTATGAAAATGCTATACTAAATTTTTTTTTGGGAAATTTCAATACCATAAACATGCTTTTCCATCCACTTTTGACATTAGTGACAAACCAAACAATCATATGGTAGTGGCTGTAAAAGAACGAAAAAAGTAAATGTTCTATATAGTAAAAGCACATGTTAAGAAAACAATGAACATCATAAAGAGGTATAGTTCAGGCTATTTTCTTTCCACATTAAGTGCTTTAAAGTTATAGTGTTTAATTGATGTTTAGAAACACTTGAGAAGATTGTAACATCCCAAAAATCGAGACCAAAATTTTTTGTTTTAATTATAATGTTTATAAAATTTGTTTGACGAAAACATTGTTGATATCACATTAATTCATAAACCATAGCTACATGTCTCAAAACCCATAGTGTCAAATAGTAATAATGTCAGAGTACAATCCCAGAAATCTCAAATGCGGAATCATGTGTGTGCGATGCGCTGCTACCCTGCCGACTCCTTCCCCTTAGACACAGAGGTACCTGAAACCAAAACTAAAAACTGTAAGCACAATGCTTAGTGAGTTCCCCCATCATACCACATACCATACAATCATACATACTGCCGGACAATTCTGGGGTGCCCAACCTACGCATGTCAATCCATTCTGGGGTGCTGACCTACCCATGTCAAGCCATTCTGGGGTGCTGACCTACCCGTGTCAGGCCATTCTGGGGTGCCTGCCTACCCTCCGGTCTATCTCAACCGGCAACGGTAACTATTTCACCCCTACCACTACCACACAATAACATATCATAATCATACTATCAGGCATACCTGGGGAGCCCGACCTACCCTTCGGTCCTAACGACCGAATCGGGGGACTATTCCCCTCCTACTACCACTATCACATATAACATATCATGCTGGCTCATAAGACACACCAGGTAGTAGCAAACCTAGACAATTATCACAAAACAATCATCTAAAGACAACTCCTGCTGGTGGGCCGACATTGTGGCTGTAGACCCACCTCTATTGGAAGGTAACTCACCTCAATGTCGTGTAGTGTCTGCATTGTCCTCGGTATGGAAATCAACTCTTCTCGACTCCTCAATCCCCACACAACATACTTTCTACATTACCATTTCATACTCATAACCCTTTCAAGGGTCAACTCAAGTCCAAGTCAAAGTCAAGGTCAAAACCTTGGTCAAAGTCAACTTTGGTCAAAGTCAACATCTGGTTGACTAGACTTGCCGAGTTGGTCCACCAACTCGTCGAGTCCCCACATCCACAAAATGCTACAACCCCGTCCCTACTCGTCGAGTCTAGCAAGAGCTCGACGAGTTCTCCTTCAACAAAACATCAGGACCTCCTTCAACTAACTCGCCAAGTTCATCCTTGAACTCGTCGAGTCCATCTTCATCCGTATGAAGGTGTTCAGTCTATGACCTGCCGAGTTCTCCTTGAACTCGTCGAGTCCGTCTTCATGTGGTTGGGACATTGCTTTGAACTCGCCGAGTTCTTCCTTGAACTCGTCGAGTCCTTCGATCTTCAAGTCCATAACAAACCCCAACAAGCTGAGTTTTCCTTCAACTCAGCCAAAGACCATTTCCCGAAGACGTTTGGGGGAAACTGCGACCCGACTCGCCGAGTCACCTAAGCGACTCACCGGGTCCTTCTTTGTCTAAAACTATACAGTCGATTTTAATCGGTCTTAATGCATCCAAACCATAGATTTGACCTCTTAGGGTCCATATCATACGTGAAGCTTCGAACTTGACGTTCATGCATGGGTTATTTGGCTCAAAAGGCCTTAAAATGGGGTTTATATGATGCATGGAACTCCCATGGCCATAAAGTTGGCACCTTTATGCCATGGGAACCCTCAATGGTTCCAGATCTGAAGCTAACACTCCACAATATGATCCAAACCCAAAGGTTGCTTAGAAATGTCCCAAAAATGGCAAGATCCATGTCTTAAAGAAGATCTATCAAATGATAAGTCAAGGTTCAAGCTTTTTACCTTGAATAAGCTGGAAATGGAGCAAAAATGTTTGGATCCACTTGCTTCTTCAAGAACCCCCAAGCTTCCACTTCTTCCTTCAAGCTTCAAACAAATCTAAATACTCAAAAATGGCTCAAGAACACTCAACAAGCTCTAGGGTTTCGAGGCAAGGCTTTCTGGAAGTGAGAGGGACGATGGAGGCTGCTTTGAGGCAAGATAAGTTGTTTAAATAGGGTGCAAACCCTAAATATTAGGGTTTCACCCAAACAACCCTACTCGTCGAGTCGGTCTCCCGACTCGTCGAGTAGGTCACTAAACCTCCTGGTCAAAATCGAGTCTACTCGACGAGTTGGGCCTCCAACTCACCGAGTCCCAGAGCAAAACATGAAATTACTTGAATTTAAATACGTACCAGGAACCGGGTGTTACAAAGATGGAAGGGATAACTGGCAAAATACAAGACTTGTTGTTGGTTGCCATATTTGCTTGTTGAAATCATATCATAAAGATCAAAATTAGAGCTGAAAAGTTATAATCCAAATATGGATAGTAGCAACTTCACAAATATATGACAAATTAATTGAAGGAACAAAATTATAAAGACTGAAAAGTTATAATCCAAATATGAATAGTAGCACTATGTATATACCTACTAAAGTAGTTTGATATCTTTCAAACTTGTAGGCATGGGAAACATAATAACAACTTCACGTACTCCTTGAAAAATGCTTCCAACTTTTTATTTAAATATGTAACTAAATGTTTAGCATATCAA